TCTAACGTTAAATCCGACTAGCGATACATTTTAAGGCAAAAGTTTTGCCTCGACTAGCGCTAAAAAACTCGACCAACACAATTTGTTCCGTCAGAGATGCGTCCACTTGTGGCCAGTGTTTACAAGCCAGCCAGCCACCGCGGTCCCATCCAAACATACAATCGGAACATTTCATATTATTACAGCGTTTTTAGTGATTGCACCTGCAAAATAAGTCACCATGGGCCCCAAGAAAGCTTCTAGTGCCAACCCTACAGCGAAAAGGGTGAGAATTACTATGGATATGAAGAAAGATCATTGCTAAGTATGAAAGTGGAGTGTGTGTCTCCGAGCTGGCCAGGTTGTACACAAAACCCCAATCAACCATCGCTACTATTGTGGCCAAGAAAACGGCAATCAAGGAAGCTGTTCTTGCCAAAGGTGCAACTATGTTTTCGAAACTGAGATCGCAAGTGATAGAATATGTTGAGAGACTGTTATTGGTGTGGATAAACGAAAAACAGATAGCAGGAGATAGCATCTCTCAAGCAATCATAAGTGAAAAGGCTAGGAAGTTGCATGAGGATTTAATTAGAAAAATGCCTGCAACTAGTGGTGATGTGAGTGAATTTAAGGCCAGCAAAGGTTGGTTTGAGAGATTTAAGAATCGTAGTGGCATACATAGTGTGATGAGGCATGGTGAGGCTGCCAGTTTGGACCAAAAAGCAGCTGAAAAATATGTGCAGGAATTCAAGGAATACATAGACAGTGAAGAATTGTAACCTGAACAAGTGTTTAATGGTGACACTGACAATGTTGTGAAACACTTTAGGAATGTCATAAAGGAACGGGAGGTACAGGCCTCTATGGACAGATATGTTGTGCGACAGAGGTCCAGCTACTCTCAAGCTGGTCCTAGTGGCATTAAAAGAAGAAGGGAAGTAACCCTGGAAAAGGACTTGACACCTCAAGTCCTAATGGAAGGGGATCCCCCTTCTAAACACTAACACCATCCACAGTCTCCCCTTCTCCCATCCCATCAATCATCACCAGATCTTCAATAAAGGTAAGTGTCATGTAATTGTACATGTCTTCTTCAGTTTGTGTGTATTAAAATTAATATTTCATGTGGTAAATTTTTTTTTTTCAATACTTTTGGGTGTCTTGCACGGATTAATTTGATTTCCATTATTTCTTATGGGGAAAATTAACTCGACTAACGATAATTTTGATTAACGATGAGCTCTAAGGAACAGATTAATATCGTTGGTCGAGGGTCCACTGTATTATAATAACTTTAAAGTTTCTTTCTTGTTCTTTCTTTCCACCCTTTCTTTGTTTTTTATTTTTCCCTCTTTCCTACCCCCCTCCTCTCTATTGGTTTATATGCGTGCCTCTTCAGTGATATAAAATTTTAATTCTTCACAGCTTTCTATCATGAAGATTGCTATTATAATTTTGTAGTGTAGTCTCTTATTTACCAATTTTAAAACAAATACTCAGTCTCCTTTAGCAGTAGCAAAAACTGGAGAAAATGGGTATTCTTTATTGAAGAACGAAATTTAAGACAAAAATGAGATTGTCTTGTAAAGTACATTTTTTTTTTTTTTTTTTTAAGCTTTCATTTGCTGCATTTGAAACAAATCTCGGGTAAAAACAAGGCCTATAATATACACAAGGTACATCAATGTTGGCTGGAAATTTTTAAAGGGAGCTCTGTGAACTTTTCTATGGGAAGGACAAGGGGATAAGCAAACTTGTTAATTGACCAACAAAGGTATTTTTCCTTAACCCTTTGACTGTTTTGGTTGTATATATACGTCTTATGAGATACCGTGTTTGACGTGTTTTTTCCAGGTCTATAGAATAAAAGTTAAGAGATAAGATAGGTCCCCTTAAAAATAACTATGGGCACCTTACTGACAAAGAGAATGAAATGTGCTCGATTTTTAATAATTATTTTCTCTCGGTTTTTACACAGGAAGACACTAACAATATTCCAGTAATTAATTTTTATAGTGGGCTAGAAGAAGATAAATTATGTAATATCACAGTCACTAGTGAAATGGTTGTGAAGCAGATAGACAGACTGAAGCAAAATAAGTCGCCGGGTCCTGATGAGGTTTTTTCAAGGGTTCTTAAGGAATGCAAAATGGAACTCTGTGAACCATTAACTAATATTTTTAATTTATCTCTTCAAACAGGTGTAGTGTCTGATATGTGGAAGATGGCTAATGTAATTCCTATTTTTAAAACAGGGGACAAGTCGTTACCGTCAAATTACTGCCCAATAAGCCTGACCTCAATTGTAGGCAAATTATTAGTCAATTATAGCTGAGATTATAAGAAGCCATCTCGATAAGCATAGCTTGATTAATGATACTCAGCATGGATTCACAAGAGGCTGGTCTTGTCTAACTAATTTATTAACTTTCTTCAGTAAAGCTTTTGAGGCTGTTGACCACAATAAAGAATTTGATATTATTTACTTAGATTTTAGTAAGGCTTTTGATAGAGTTCCGCACCATAGACTGTTTAAGAAAGTGGCAGCTCATGGCATTGGGGGAAAAGTGCTCTCGTGGATTGAGCCATGGCTCACAGACAGGAAGCAGAGAGTGTCCATAAATGGGGTTAAATCCGAGTGGGGATCTGTAACAGGTGGCGTTCCACAGGGATCAGTCTTGGGCCCGTTGTTGTTTATAATATATATCAATGATCTTGATGAGGGAATTACTAGTGATATGAGCAAATTCGCCGATGACACAAAGGTAGGATAATTGATTCAAACGTAGATGTTATGGAACTTCAGGAGGATTTAAACAAACTCTATTCTTGGTCAGAAAAGTGGCAGATGCAGTTCAATGTAGATAAATACAAGGTTCTGAAGCTTGGGAGTGCCCATAACCCTAGTACTTATAAGTTAAATGATGTAGAACTTAGCCATACAGATTGCGAAAAGGACTTGGGGGTTATGGTGAGCAGCAACCTTAAACCAAGACAGCAATGCCTAAGCGGACGTAATAAGGCAAATAGATTACTGGGATTTATATCAAGAAGTGTAAGCAACAGAAGTCCAGAGGTCATACTGCAGCTTTATACATCATTAGTAAGGCCTCACCTAGATTATGCAGCTCAGTTCTGGTCTCCATATTACAGAATGGACATAAATTCGTTAGAAAACATTCAGCATAGGATGACTAAATTAATACATAGCATTAGAAATCTTCCTTATGAAGAAAGATTGAAGACTCTTAAGTTACATTCACTTGTTAGACGAAGAATGAGGGGAGACCTGATCGAAGTGTATAAGTGGAAGATAGGTATTAATAAAGGGGATATTAATAAGGTCTTGAGGATGTCTCTCCAAGAGAGAACCCGCAGTAATGGATTTAAATTAGATAAGTTTAGATTTAGAAAGGACATAGGAAAGTATTGGTTTGGAAATAGGGTAGTTGATGAGTGAAACAGTCTACCTAGTTGGGTTATTGAGGCTGGGACTTTGGGTAGTTTCAAATTTAGGTTGGATAAGTAAATGAGTGGGAGGGGTTGGATTTGAGTGGGACTTTCACATCAGAGCTTATTTCTTGGGTGGCATTGAAAATAGGGTTGGGCAAATGTTTTGTTAGTGGGATGAATTGTAAAGGACCTGCCTAGTATGGGCCAACAGGCCTGCTGCAGCGTTCCTCCTTTCTTATGTTCTTATGTTCTTATACTCATAAATTCTAGCAGCTTCAAATCAAGCAGGCGAAAGCTGGTAGGGCCACATGTGAGAGAATGGGTCTGTGTGGTCAGTGTGCACCATATAAAAAAAAATCCTGGAGCACGCAGTGCATAATGAGAAAAAAGAAACTTTTTTTTTTAATTAAAATGCAGAATTTGTGGTCTTTTTTCTTATAGTATTTATGGTTGTATTCTCGTTTTCTTGATCTCATTTGATAGAAGGGAAAGCATATTATAGAAATAGTGGTGAGTTTGATTGGTTTTACTATAAAAATAACCTGGAAATGGAGCTCAAAGTAGGGGAAATGTTTGATTTTTGTCAGTGTTCAAAAGTAAACAAATGATGTCATTGTCCAATAAATGTCCAACTAGCCATTCTAATAAGCAGTCATGAATGGGTTGATGTTACTTATACAATTATTATAGTATTGCAGTAGTCTGCATAACAGTAAATCTTCTATTTTTTTGTTTGAATAAAAACTCAAAATAGAAAGCAAGAGTAATATCAGAGGGGCCTGGAGACATGGCTGATAAACAAAGAAAATGTTATTTTAGAGCCAGGAATGTCTGCACTGTTCATTCTGGACCTTATTTTGAAATTGTCATATTTTTTAATTTTCGTGAAATTGGCCACATTGCGAATTTGAGACCACGTTATTGGGTAGTTGAAATTGGTAAATGGGCAGTTTCTTGAACTCAATCGATAGAATAATCTGAATTCTAAAGAAGAAGTTATGAGTTTGGTCGACTGGAACAATGGAATTAACTGAAAATAGGTCTCAAAGTGGGCAAAATTGCTGATTTGTAAATATCGCTGAGGTCACTAACTTCGCGAGAACGTAATTCTGTCAGTTTTCCATCAAATTTCGTTTTTTGGTGTCATTACAATCGGGAAAAGATTCTCTATCATTTCACAAGATTTTTTTTTTTTTTTACACCAGGAGACACCTCAGGATTGGGGGTTGCGACGGTCAAGGGGTTAATATTGACCTGTTCCAGACCTCATTACCTAAAGTGTATGTTCATGACCTGGTGTATCCTGTTAGTGCTATTACGAGTGTGGATGTGGAGAGTAAGGAGAATTACATAAGAGGTAATAGATAAATATCAGTGGAGAATTTCACATTTGGATGGAATGATATGACAGTGCTGATGAGATGGATGACTGCATGTTAATAAAAGATAAGTGGAAGCCAAGATGTTTGTTGAAGGGAGAACAGGGTTTTTGAGGTTTGAACTATATTTGATTATAAATATTAGACTTTGACTAATAATAGTTTCATACATTTCCATTTTTATAGGTACAAGAAATTCAAAGCAAGTTGTCAGGTGATGTCACAGGAAGTTCAGAATACCAAGAGTTACTTTCTGAGAAGCTGAATTTGGAAGCAGCCTTGGGGTTTGTAATATTTAATTCATGTAATGAATAATTTTGTTTCACATAATTATTATACTGATTGTAGTAATTCCCTTCACATTGATTCCATAGCTGTCTGTAGCTACAGGAGCAACACTATGCTTGTGTCTTGCCTTCAGTATTTACACTACTACATATTTGGTTTATATTTTCAGAGACTGCAAACCACTTTTATAACCCATTCCAGTGTTCTCTGTTAAGAACTTGCAATTGCATCCTTTTTTCACCTCTTCTTTCTCACTTTACAAGTGTCTTATTCTTCTGTTAGTGTCAACAAGTCTTTCTTGTATAGTTTTTATGTTAAATTCCTTTATTATGTTTTTTCTTCAGTCAGTGAGCTCGTCTGTAATTTTTTTTTAACATGTCCATTGTTTGTTTGTTTCTTAGGGACTATACCCAGTGTACCAGTGCTTTCTATTCTAATATTGTTCAAATATATATACATAAGGGCCCACTTATATGGCGGGTTAGGTTCCAGGCTGCCGCCAGAAAGCGGACATTGCTGGAAAGCAGACCGCCACTTTTTCCTCTTTTAAATGCATACAAATGCCAGATAACAAGTTTGCACTAACATATATTAATCCAGCAGTAGAACTAGGCATTAAATAACAATAAAAAGTAAAATGCGTACATACACGGTACATTCATTAATTGCCTTAAAATATTTGTAGTCTTAATGTAGGATGAGAGGTGAGTGGTTATGTGTACGAAGTCAGGTGTAGGTAGCCGATAGGTGTAGCTATGTAGCCCAGGAGGGCTACATAGCTACACCTACCTACATAGTTATATGATATTTAAAGCTGCCCAGAGCGATATTATCACAATCAACATACCTTGGTCACTGAGTTTAATAATTTGTAACAACTACTTTAAAATGCCATCATAAACGAAGGGAGAAGTGATGAGAAGCAGTCATGCCGAGAATTGTAAACAAAGCTGAATGCAGAAAATATCTGCCTGGATGATGACTAATAAACTTACCCTGAATACTGATAAAACCTATTTCATTCAGTTTGAAAACGAAGCTGCAAATGTGCCACTTAACATAATGCTAAACGGATCACCAGTCACAAGACTTGCAGAGGGAAAATTCCTAGGTATCCACCTTGACAGTAGCCTTAAGTTCCAGACACACATACAACAAATCACCAAGAAAATCTCTAAGACTGTAGGCATACTATCAAAGATACAGTACTACGTTCCACAATCAGCTCTCCTGGCAGTGTACCATTCACTCGTATACCCTTACCTCACATATGGAATTTGTGCATGGGGATCAACAACATTAAATCACCTAAGACCTCTAATAACCCAGCAACAGGCATCAGTCAGAATGATGATAAATTCCCACTCCCGACAGCATACTCCACCAATTTTTAAAAGTCTAAATCTGCTAACCATTAAGAACATTCATACTTATTCATGTGCTTACTACGTACACAGAACAATACACGTAAATATAAACCCTCCACTCAAACTTCTCCTCGCCAACCTTAACAGGAAACATGACTATAACACAAGACACAGATCTCTTTTTGATGTTCCCCGTGTCCATATCACACTGTAAAAAAACTATGCACATAAAGAGACCCAAAATTTGGAATTCATTACCAGAAGATACTAAAGTAACCCGGTCTGAAATTCAATTTAAGACTCTTCTCAAAAGCCACTTAATCACCCTAGACTAAATGCTCAATACTCAGGACTCGCATACTCAATACGTATTCCCATATCATAATTTCAACAATTACTTTCGAACCTTTTATCCGTTGTCGGCAGGAATATAATTGAATCATTGTTTCACAAAAAGCATTTTTGAATATATGAATATATCTTTTGTCTTATATAAATTATTTTCACTTACAATTAATAATCTACTGTACAACTATGATATAATTCTTAGTGTTAAGTAGTCAGTAAGCCAATAATGTTAAGTTAGCCCATAATGCCTAGGCATAATAGAGGCTCTCTTTGCACTGCAACCCATTATTTTAAATACATAATCTCAATGTACTATTTGCAAAGACATAAATCATTTTTTTTTTCATCAAACCGGCCATATCCCACCGAGGCAGGGTGGTCCAAAAAGAAAAATGAAATACATACAGTGGAACCTCAAAAATCGAACTTCTCCCAACACAACCAATTATGTAAGTGTATTTTTGTTAGTGCTTTTATAAGTGTATTTTTAAGGGTCTGAAATGGACGAATCTAATTTACATTATTCCTGATGGGAATAAATTCATTCGGTAAAGGCACTCGAATAGACTTCTGGACCGAAGAAAGTTCGATATTTGAGGTTCCACTGTAAATAAATAAATAAAATAAATAAATAGATGAGAAATGACTGAGTCAATGGCAGATTGATAAACATTTTCTCTGGTTCTAGACCAGAGAAAACGTTTTTATCCCTCCGCCTAGCTACCACACCTCTGTTTCTTATCTTTGTCAAACCTTCACCCTGCCACCCAGTAGTGTCTCTTTTAATATATTTAATAAGTGTGAAGTCAAGTAATTTATACTTAATTGTTACATTAACAGGTCAACAGAATATGCACTACAACAACTTAAGATGTCTTACAATGATTTTAAGAAGAGCACTTCGACATCTGAAAAAGAACTCTTACATAAGGTACTGTGTAATTTGTACTTTTAGAAGTTTTTCTTGAATTGTTTTCCATTGTGTACAAAATGTATGCAGCCTTTTTAAATTTAGTAATATATACAGAAGGGGTTACTAACCCCTTGCTCCCGTCATTTTAGTCGCTACTTACAACACGCATGGCTTATGGAGGAATAATTCTGTTCCACTTCCCCGTGGAGGTAAGAGGAAATAAACAAGAACGAGAACTAGAAACAAAATAGAAAACCCAGAGGGGTGTGTATATATATATTTGTACATGTATGTGTAGTGTGACCTAAGTGTAAGTAGAAATAGCAAGACGTACCTGAAATCTTGCATGTGTACGAGACAGAAAAAAAAAGACGCCAGCAGTCCTACCATCGTGTAAAACAATTACAGGCTTCGGTTTTTCGTTGTTATCAACTTCTATTTTCAAAAGTTTTTTCCCCTTATTAGGTTACAAATGTATATAAATCATTTTTGCTATCAGTACAATTTACTCTTAACATTTTTGACATCATTTAATTACCATTACTTGTCTAATTACCATAGCCTGTTTTAACCCTTTGAGGGTTTTCGTCGTACTAGTACGTCTTACGCGTAGGGGTTTTTGACGTACTAGTACTCATAAATTCTAGCGGCCTCAAATCTAGTGGGAGAAAGCTGGTAGGCCTTCATATGAAAGAATGGGTCTATGTGGTCAGTGTGCACAGTCTAAAAAAAATCCTGCAGCACACAGTGCATAATGAGAAAAAAAAAGCTATTACCATTTTTTTTAATAAATCAGCGACTTTGCAGTGTATTTTCGTATGGTATTTATTGTTGTATTCTAGTTTTCTTGGTTTCATTTTATAGAATGCAATACATATTACAGAAATTGAGATGATTTTGACTGGTTTTACAAAGAAAGGTGCCTTGAAATTGAGCTCAAAGTAGCAGAAATGTTCGATTTTTGCCAAACTTCAAAAGTAAACAAATCGTGCCAAGCGTGCAATACACGTCAACTGGTGAATCTAATATTCTTTCACAAGTGCACCAATAATATTTATACCATTTTTTACACTAATGCAGTAGTCTGCATAACAGTAAATCTTATATTTTTTGTGAAAATAAAAATTCAAAGTGGAAAGCAAAAGAATATAAGAGGGGCCTTGAGACATGACTAATGACTAGAGGAAATGTCATTTTAGTGCCAGGAATGTCTTTCTTGTTTATTCTGGACCCTATTCGGAAATTGGCATCTTTTGAAATTTGTGTGAAATTGGCAAAATTGCTAAATTCTGACCACTGTACTGGATAGTAGAATTTCATAAATGAGTGGTTTCTTGCACCCATTCGATAGAAAAAATGGAGTTCTATCGAAATATTCATGTTTTTTTTCGACTAGTACAGTGAAATTGGCCGAAAATGGGGCTCAAAGTGGGCAAAATCGCCGATGCGTAAACATCGCCGAGACCGCTAACTTTGCAAGAGCATAATTCCGTAAGTTTTCTATCAAATTTCAAACTTTTGGTGTCTTTATGATCGGGAAAAGATTCTCTATCTTTTCATAAGAGAAAATAATTTTTTTTTTTTTTAAATTTGGCCGACCCTGAGAACGAGTTTTGGAGAGGGCCTGTCGACCCTCAAAGGGTTAATACAACATTTACTATCTTAGAGTACTCTTAACCCTTTCAGGGTCCGTCCCGTAGATCTACGGCTTTACGTTCAGGGTCCAAACCGTAGATCTACGCCATGAGCTCAGCTCACTCTGATAAACTGTGAGTGGTACATTTGGGCCTAGATATGAGAGAATACATCTATGTGGTATGTGTGCACCACGTAAAACAGATCCTGCAGCACACTGTGTATAATGAGAGAAAAAAATGAAATCATGATTTTTCGATTAAAACAGCAACTTTGCAGTGTTTTTTCGTATGTTTTTTATAGTTGTATTTGCGATTTCTTGGTCTCATTTGATAGAATGGAAGACATATTACAGAAATAGAGATGATTTTGATTGGTTTTTAGCACTGGAAATGGCTTGAAACTGAGCTCAAAGTAGCAGAAATGTTAAATTTTTGCCGATATTCAAGAGTAAACAAACGACCTCACACATCTAATACACGTCGGCTGGTGGGTCTAATATACATTCACAAATATGGTGATGATATTTATACAATTATTACAGTATTGCATAACAGTAAATCTTCTATTTTTTGGTGTGAATAAAAATTTATTATGTGAATAAAAAATCAAAATGGAATTTATTTGTAAAGCCTCAAAACATAACTAATGAACAGAGGAAATGTTAGTTTAGTTCCAGGAATACCTACATTGTTCATTCTGGACCCTATTTTGAAATTGGAATACAGTGGACCCCCGGTTAACGATTTTAATCCGTGCAAGAGGGCTCATCGTTATGCGAAATAATCGTTATGCGAATTAATTTTCCCCATAAGAAATAATGGAAATAAAATTAATCCGTGCAAGACGCCCAAAAGTATGAAAAAAAATTTTTTTTACCACATGAAATGTTAATTTTAATACACACAAACTGAAAAAGGCATGCACAATTACATGACACTTACTTTTATTGAAGATCTGGTGATGATTGATGGGATGGGAGGAGGGGAGAGCATTATCTTCTTACTGTTTAGAAGGGGAATCCCCTTCCATTAGGACTTGAGGTAGCAAGTCCTTTTCTGGGGTTACTTCCCTTCTTCTTTTAATGCCACTAGGACCAGCTTCAGAGTCACTGGACCTCTGTCGCACAACAAATCTGTCCATAGAGCTCTGTACCTCCCGTTTCTTCAAGACTTTCCTAAAATGGGCCATAACATTGTCATTGAAATAGTCACAAGCACGGCTTGCAACAGCTGTGTCAGGGTGATTTTCATCTATAAAGGTTTGCAGTTCAAACCACTCTGCACACATTTCCTTAATCTTTGAAGTAGGCACAATGGATTCCACAACTGGCATAGGCTTCTCAGGGTTAGCCCCAAACCCTTCAAAATCTTTCTTAATTTCCATACTAATTCTCACCCTTTTTACCACAGGGTTGGCACTAGAAGCTTTCTTGGGGCCCATGGTCACTTATTTTCCAGAAACACCACCGAAAACACTGTAATAATACGAAATATTCCGAGTGTATGCTTGGATGTTACCGCGGAGGCTGGCTGGTAAACAATGGGACGGCCGGCACATGTGAGGGCACATTGGACGCGTCTCGGACGAAAATCGGTATGCGGGTTTTTAATCGGTATGCGGGGCAAAAATTTTGCGATAAAAGTAATCGTTATGCGGAAAAATCGCTATGCGATGCCATCGTTATGCGGGGGTCCACTGTATTTTGAACTTTGTGTTAAATTGGCCAAATTAACAATTTCCGATCACTTTATTTTGTAGTTGAAACAGTTGACTTGGCGATTTCTTGTGCTCAATCGATAGAATAGAAGTAATACTAGTGAAATAGCTAAGAATTTGGTTGATTGGAATAATGTAATTGGCCTAAAATGGGAGTCAAAGTCGGCAAAATCGCCGATTCGTAAATATCGCTGACACATCAAAATTCGCGAGAGCATAATTTCGTCAGTTTTCCACCAAATTTCGTACTTTTTGTTTTATTACCTTCACAAAAAGATTCTCTACGATTTCATAAGAAAAAATAACAAATTTTTTTTTTTTTAAATTCTTGGACACTGGTGCGTGACTCCAGATTTGGGCCTTGGACCCTGAAAGGGTTAAATACCTTGTATTGCCAAATAACCTCTAGTATAACTACCACTGCAATATTGAATACAAATAACTTTTTAAAATTTAATACTTGAAATAAACTACTTCTTCACTTTTTTTTTTTTGCTAATTAATCTTTTTTTGTAATCATTATTACTTACTAAAATTTTATTAAATACCATATTTACTACCAGTCAGTTTTACTTTTGTACATTAACCCTTTGACTGTTGCAACCCCCAATCCTGAGGTGTCTCCTGGTGTCGCAAAATTTAAAAAAAAAAAAAAAATATTTTTTTCTTATGAAATGATAGAGAATCTTTTCCCGATTGTAATGACACCAAAAAAACGAAATTTGATAGAAAACTGACGGAATTATGCTCTCGCGAAGTTAGCGACCTCGGCGCTGTTTACAAATCGGCGATTTCGCCCACTTTGAGCCCTATTTTCGGCTAATTCCATTGTTCCAGTCGCCCTAACTCATAGCTATTTCTTTAGAACTTCATTTTTTCTATCGATTGAGTACAAGAAACTGCCCATTTACTGATTTCAACTACCTAATAATGTGGTCAGAAATTTGCAATTTGGCCAATTTCACGAAAACTAAAAAATATGACAATTTCAAAATAAGGTCCAGAATGAACAATGCAGACATTCCAGGCTCTAAAATAACGTTTTCTTTGTTCATCAGTCATGTCTCCAGGCCCCTCTGATATTACTCTTGCTTTCTATTTTGAATTTTTTATTCAAACAAAAAATATTAGACTTACTATTATGCAGACTACTGCAATGCTGTAATAACTGTATAAATAACATCAACCCATTCTTGACTGCATATTAGAATGGCTAGTTGGACATTTATTGGACAATGGCATCATTTGTTTACTTTTGAACATTGGCAAAAATCAAACATTTTCCCTACTTTGAGCTCCATTTCTAGGTTCTTTTTATAGTAAAATCAATCAAAAACACCTCTATTCTGTAATATGTTTTTCCATTCTATCAAATGAGACCAAGAAAACGAGAATACAACCATAAATACTATACGAAAATAGACCACAAAGTCGGCATTTTAATTAAAAAAAATGGTCGTAGTTTTTTTTTTCTCATTATGCACTGCGTGCTCCAGGATTTTTTTTATATGGTGCACACTGACCACACAGACCCATTCTCTCACATGTGGGCCTACCAGCTTTCTCCTGCTTGATTTGAAGCCGCTAGAATTTATGAGTATATATACGTCAAACACGGCACCTCGTAAAACGTATATATACGACCGCGACAGTCAAAGGGTTAATCATTATTTTATACTTTTCATAACATTTTGTTGCCAAATTTTCAGGTTTGTACATTCAGCTCCAACCTTTATATTATCCTCTGTACCTGTGTACCTCTCTACCTGTGTACCTGTCTACCATCTTACTATCAAATTATAACCAAGTTATTGCCATTGTTATTTTTTTACTTATTATTCTTTTGGTACTTTAATTTGTGAATTTTATTTTGTCAATTTAAATCTAGTTATACTCTTGATCTTGTTAACAACCTATATCAGACCCTAGTGCAATTGCAAGTACCATTTTAATTTGTATTTTTATATTATAAGTTTATAAGTCCTACTCTAAGATTATTTTCATATCTTAGTGACTATATTGTGTGTGCAATTAGTGTATATTTCAATTAAATCATTGTTCAAGGCCCTTAACTATCTTTTGCTAACTAGTACCAACTAACTCATATTATTTTTTTTACTTTTTATAGTATAATGTATTGCTCAACTTATTATATATAACAAATCAGATCTTACTCCCAAATCAATATTATATTATAGTGACTGTCTGTCATTTTAACTTTGTTTACCATTACTTAATTTAGCCCCTTATATTTTTTCTCTTTTATTTTAGCTTTATATAACAACCTTAGTTCATATATTCACAATTGTTAAAATAATCAAGGTGCTATTCTCAGGTGCTAAAGTGTAATAAGCTCATTATTTTGCCATTATATTCATTTGATTACCACTTTTTTGTTCACCATAAATTATTTTAGTCCCTTTTATATTGCCTCATTTATTTTAGCTTTAAAGAGCTACCTTAGCTAATATTTTTTTACATTTGTTAAAATAATTCAGATGCTATTTTTTAGCTTTAGACTATTTACTTTGTTTTATACTTAATTCTAACTATAGATACACTACAAATCTTATGATTGCAAGCATTAATCCTGATACCAACCTCTTATCTAATGACTTAAATGAATCAAACAGTTACTGTAATTACTACACTGCAGAACAATCAAAGGCACTTCTCAGAGCCAGCAACAACCTAACTATCTTTAACTACAATATCAGATCTTTAAGCAAACATTACGATGACCTCATAGCATTACTAAATTCCTTACATGCCAATATGTCCATCATTACTCTCACCGTAACCTGGCTAAAGCCTGATACTACAGATGTCTATGCCATTCCTGGTTACACAGCCATACACAACTGTAGGCCAGACCAACAAGGGGGTGGCACAGCTATATACTACTCAGACCAACTAGAATGTATCACTAATACTTGCACAAGGGATGAACATGGGGAATATATAATAGCTAAATTCAAATCCAAATACCTACAAAAACCTCTCAGTGATAAACATCTAGAGAGTACCACAGTCAAACATTAGCCGTTTTAGTGAAAACCTAGGAAGTATGATAACTGATGCACGCATGAACAAAGATCACTTACTACTCTCAGGTGACTTCAATATAAATCTCCTACAAGATCAAGACCCACATGTTACTGAATTCACAAACACTGAGTAACTGCATGTTGCTACCAACAGTAACAAAACCTACAAGAGTTACAGAGACTAGTGTTTCCCTACTAGACCACATCTGGACCAACACCATATCCCCCTTAAGATCAGGCATAACCACAGATAATATCACAGACAATTACCCTACCTTCCTCATAACAAACCTTGGCAAATTACCCCTAGACACTACTAAAGTCACTTTCAGACTTCACAATGAGGCCGCTATCAATAACTTCACAGCAGCAGTGACAAACATTGACTGGCACACTGAGCTAGAAATCTATACAGATATTGATGAATGTATTAATAATTTTCTAAGAAAGACCCAATGCCTCTATAACAAGCACTGCCCTAAAAAAACTAAACAGATGACAGCTAAGAGACTGAACAGTCCCTGGCTAACACCCAGCATCCTCAAATCCATAAATACAAAGCACCTATACGAAAAACAGTACAGAATGGGCCACATAACCAGAGACCAAACAAAACGTTACTCGTCAATCCTAAACAGCCTAATAAGAAGGGCTAAAAAATTGTATTATGAGAACAGATTATGCAACTTACGAGGTGACATAAAAAAGACCTAGGAAACCCTATCAGAAATAATAGGAACAAAAAGGATAACATGAAATAGCGAAATTGAATTAATAAAACCAGATGAACCCCAATTCCCACTTACTGAAACAGCAAACAGACTCAATGATTTCTTCTCCACTATAGGAAAAAACCTTTCCAATAAAATCCCAAGCTCAGATACCCCACCCAATGACTACCTCACTGGCAACTACCCGAACACACTGTTCCTAGCTCCGACTAACCCAACTGAAGTCTCCTTTGTTATCAACAAACTAAAAAACAAGACAGGAGATTTAAATACCTTACCACCCATTATATACAAAAAAGTGTCACAGGTGCTATCACCAATCATTGCAACACTCTTTAACAAATCCATTGAATCCTCTACCTTTCCTACAGTTCTCAAAATAGCAAGGGTCACCCCGATCCATAAAGGAGGAGACCACACAGACTTGAATAACTATAGGCCAATATCCAACTTACACCCTCTCTCTAAAATCTTTGAAAAATTAATCCATAAGCGTATCTATTCCTACCTCATCTCCCACAACATACTCAACCCCTGTCAATTTGGGTTCAGGCCTAATAAAAATACTAATGATGCTATTATACACATGCTAGAACATATTTATACAGCAATAGAGAAAAAAGAAGTCCCACTGGGGGATCTTCATTGACTTATGTAAAGCTTTCGATACAGTTGACCATGACTTGCTCCACGTAAAATTGTCGCACTATGGTATAAGAGGGCACTCCCTCAACTACCTAAAGTCATACCTCAGCAACAGAAGCCAATATGTGTACACAAATGGGGCAAACTCTTCTGCACATCCAGTTACAGTTGGTGTCCCACAGGGAAGTGTCCTAGGCCCTCTTCTCTTTCTCATATACATAAATGACCTACCAAATGCATTGCAACTACTCAAACCCACACTATTTGCAGATGACACTACATACGTCTACTCTCACCCGAGCCCAGTCATGCTAGCCAATACTGTAAATACTGAATTACAGAAAATATCAACCTGGATGAGGACCAACAAACTTACTCTAAACATTGACAAAACCTACTTCATTCAGTTTGGTAACAGAGCTGCAGATGTGTCTCTTAACATAATGATAAATGGATCACCTATCACAAAACTCAGAGGGAAAATTCCTAGGAATCCACCTTGATAATAGACTCAAATTTCAAACACATATACAACAAATTTCCAAAAAAATTTCCAAGACTGTAGGCATACTATCGAAGATACATTACTATGTTCCACAGTCAGCCCTCCTGGCCCGATATCACTCACTTATTTACCCCTATCTCACCTATGGAATTTGTGCATGGGGCTCAGCAACAATAAACCATCTCAGACCACTAATCACCCAACAAAAGGCTGCAGTCAGAATGATAACAAATTCCCACTACCGACAGCACACTCCACCAATATTCAAAACTCTAAACCTACTCACAATACAAAACATCCAGACTTATTACTGCACCTACTACATACATAGAACACTTAACTCTGACATAAACCCTCCCCTCAAACATCTCCTTACCAACCTCAGCAGAACACACGACCATAACACAAGGCACAGATCACTCTTTGATGTTCCTCGTGTCCATCGCACGCTATGCGAAAACTCAATGCACATAAAAGGCCCTAAAATCTGGAATTCATTACCTGTGAATATAAAAGAAACACTGTTTATAAATTCAAGTCTCTTCTCAAAAATCACTTACTCACCCACAACTAAATAAATACTGAATAATTGTATCTCATAAATTGTATCTCATATATGTATCTCATATTGTATCTCATAAATGTCAACCTGTGACCCAATCAAACTTTGTTACTATTTAACTTCATTACCTAACATAATACTCCATTCTACTGATTACACAGCAACACAGTAAATGACCCTATGACCTGTCTTTGTAATACTCATTTGTACTAAATTGTTATCTGTTTTACAATAATTTTTGTACCACTGAATATATCATTGCTTAGTTAATCTTAAGTTAATTTTAAGCCTGCCCATAATGCTCTGCATACAAGGGGCTTTGGCATGCTGCACTTTAAAAATTGTATTCCTTGTACTTCTCTGTATCATGTTCAAATTAATAAATAAATAAATGATGGGTTGATGATTGCAAGTACCAATATATCCATCTTCATTCTAGAACACAAGTTGCACTGCTGAAATATTGATTCAGAAAGTATAGCAGGAGTTTATTGCATTATCCTGCAGTACTGTTTGTAGCAACATCATCTAGTACTTTTTATGATAACTTTCTCCAGAAATGGAAAAATGGAAGATAGGTAAATAAGGAATCATTATTATTTCCATGGAAAAATAACAGGAAAATGCAAGTAACATATACATTTTCCCATGGTATTGATAAATGTCATTATTAATACCATGTACATTTTTCCCACTATTTTATCTGGAGAGTACTGTGATATCCAGTAGTCATGGAAGATGTATATGTTTTGCCTTGTACATCACCTATTTTCTCTTTATAGAAATTTTGTAAGGAATGTCGTTATATTGGGCAAGATGTATTTTACTAATTAATGAAATTATTTTAGCTTAATGATATACAAGACAGGCACCAGATCCTGGGAGAAAGACACAAGTCAGCTTCAGATCAGTTGACTAGACTGAAGGAATATCTGCGAGACCTTCCTACACATGAAGAGCATCAGCAGCTTCAGCAAGAAATTGCTAAAAAATCTGCTCAAATTTCTCACTTGTCTAGTAAAGTTGATCATCTGTCACGTAAGTTGAGGTCTGATTTGTTTATCTCTTAATTACGCTTGGCTATGATAATGTTGAAGTTTCATGGAATGTTTGTATCGCACTTTGATAGTTTTTTTTCTTAACACTTGCTGTCTACCACCAAGGTAGGGTGATCTGAAAAAACATTCACCATCATTCACTCCATCACTGTCTTACCAGAAGTGTGTAGCTGTTGCAGTTCAGTTGCCCCTCCAAACTGCAGATATCCCCACCCCTTCCTTCAGAGTGCAGGTATATTAGTGTGTGGTTTAGAAAGACACGTAAGCAAACACTATATCATAGTGTTCGCTTACGTGTCTTTCTAAACCAACTTGTCGGTATTTATTACCAAGGTTTATACCATATTAGTGTGTGCACAAACAACATAATTCAAAATTCTCTATTTCCAGATAGGTACTCACAGTAACATTACTTTTGAGTTATAGCTTTTTCTTCTGCTTTGTTTTTGTGTGATGAGCTTCAGTAATATTTTATTTTTTTGCATTGCTCTGCTTCTTGGTTCCTGAGTAGTAAAGAAAATATACTTTTGCAGACCTAAATTTTATACAGCAGATACAGAATGCATGTATATATGTACTTCTGACAGCGAAGGAAGAGGTGAGGTGAGTGAATTTATTGAACTGTGACTAATCTTGGGTCTCCAGAGCACTGAGAAGTCTAGTGGTTGCTATTCTTGAACTATCTTGTGGTTTCTATCCAGCACATCTGTCTTGACTCCTTTGCCAAGAATGTTTATGTAGTATGATGAGCCAGTGGTCTGTGCTAAAAATACACCTTATTTTTGTTCTTTAGTGTTCTTTATGCTACAAAAATTAAAGCAGTATCCTAACATTTTCTGGCCTTTTTCTTTTCAGTGATGAGTTTAGTGTCTTGCCATGCCAGGAAGTGTGAATGTTGATCATGGTGATCTACATATGCATTGCTGGTGGTGATCCAACAGAATTAAACACAGTAGAGCCTCAGTACACTGTAGTTACGTTTCTGATAATGTCGTGCTAGATAAATCCATGTTATACATAGGGAAGAACTACGGGAAAATAGGGTTACATTCCTGGGACCCCCTCAAAAAAAAAAAAAAATTAGACCTCCAGTCCTTACAAAAACAAAAATCGTGTTTTTGTTGCTCAAGACTAAAGTGCGAAATAATATTCTTTAATTTAAATTGTGATTGCTGGTGTATGTTAGTGATTGTGAAGTGAGTGGAGATGCATAGTGTAGCCCTACTGGGCTGAGGTGGATAGTTGTTGGTTGTTGGCAGAGGTGGATGGTTGAGGTTCTGGTACTAAAGTTAATGGTTGTAATTTTTTTTTTTTTTTTTTTTTTTAACAAGTCGGCCATCTCCCACCGAGGCAGCGTGACCCAAAAAGAAAGAAAATCCCCAAAAAGAAAATACTTTCATCATTCAACTCTCTCACCTCACTCACACATAATCACTGTTTTTGCAGAGGTGCTCAGAACACAACAGTTTAGAAGCATATACGTATAAAGATACACAACATATCCCTCTAAACTGCCAATATCCCAAACCCCTCCTTTAGAGTACAAGCATTGTACTTCCCATTTCCAGGACTCAAGTCCGGCTATTTAAAAATAACCGGTTTCCTTGAATCCCTTCACTAAATATTACCCTGCTCACACTCCAACAGCTCGTCAGGTCCCAAATACCATTCATCTCCATTCACTCCCATCGAACACGCTCACGCACGCCTGCTGGAAGTCCAAGCCCCTCGCCCACAAAACCTCCCTTACCCCTTCCTTTCAACCTTTTCGAGGACGACCCCTACCCCGCCTTCCTTCCCCTACTGATTTAAATGCTCTCCATGTCATTCTACTTTGATCTATTCTCTCTAAATGACCAAACCATCTCAACAACCCCTCTTCAGTCCTCTGACTAATACTTTTATTAACTCCACACCTTCTCCTAATTTCCACACTCCGAATTTTCTGCATAATATTTACACCACACATTGCCCTTAGACAGGACATCTCCACTGCCTCCAACCGCCTCCTCGCTGCAGCATTTACCACCCAAGCTTCACACCCATATAAGAGTGTTGGTACTACTGTACTTTCATACATTCCCTTCTTTGCCTCCATAGATAATGTTTTTTTGACTCCACATATACCTCAACGCACCACTCACCTTTTTTCCCTCGTCAATTCTATGATTAACGTCATCCTTCATAAATCCATCTGCCGACACGTCAACTCCCAAGTGTTCATATATTCTGTAATGGATCTCTGGCTTCTTTTACCCTACAGTACACTATACATTATTCCAGAAGCTTGGTACTGCCAGGTTGGAGTCTGAGGCCATTGATGCATCTATTTTTTTCATCACTTTTCTTGTGTAGTTACACTGGAATGACATAAAAACTCCCGGATTCAGTTGTTGTATTAAAGATGTTGTATTTGAAGGTAAAAATACAACTTTTACATGTGGTGTCACATCCAGTAAAGCTTCTGGAGGAGTACGGGAATCTTGCACAGCAAGGTTCTCGCTGTGCAGGTAAAACTTGACTTCAGGAATAAAGTGTTGCTTAACCCTTAAACTGTCCAAACATTGATCTACGTTCGCTCGAGTAGCGCTCTGAATGTAGATCTAAGTTTTTTTACATGCTTTCTTATGGAGAAAATCAAGGTTGGAGCGCTATGCACGCCAGCGTAGATCTACGTTTGGACAGTTTAAGGGTTAAACCAGTCGATTAATATTTCCTCTGTCATCCAAGCTGACTAGTTTGACCTCCAAATTACTGGTAAGATTTTTTATCTACACCTTTCAAAGCATGAGGATTCGTAGCGGTAAATAACCATGGGCTTACACTTGAAATTGCCTGATGCATTACCATAAAGGAGCAAGGTGAAGCAATCCTTTGCTGCCTTGAAGCCCAGTGCAGCCCTGTGGAGACAGTGGTCTCGCCCACAGCCAGGCAGTGGCCTGTGCTAGGGGAATATTTTAAGGGTGATGCTCCAAATCTTCCCCCTCCCCGTAGACCGAATTGTGTTAAGTTAATTTTACGGAGTGTTGTATAAAATTATGCCGAAAATTTTCAGTAGTGTAATAACCAAAACGTGCCAAATAAATGCATGTAATATGATTGTCAACTGTAACTACAAACTGATATCAAACTTGCCTTTCCTCTCTAAAATCTTCGAAACAAATCTACTCCTACCTCATATCCCACAACATACAGGACCTCTGTCTGTTTTGGCCGAAAAAAACCACAAATGAGGCAATTATTCAGATTCTCGAACTACTATATACAGTACATGTACTTGAAAAAAAATTAATATCATCTTGGGCTCTTCATAGACCTATGGAAAGCATTTGATACATTAAACCACAATCTCTTGCACCTATGGAGTCAGAGGACACTCCCTCAGTTACCTAAAATCTTATCTTAGTGATAGATACCAGTTTGTATACACAAATGGCATGACCTCCACTACGCAGCCTGTGCCACAGGGTTGTGTCCTAGATCCTCTACTATTTATTTACATCAGTGACCTACCATATGCCTCTCGACTCCATAAACCAGTTCTGTTCGCAGATGACACCATACGTGTCTTCTCCCACTCAAACCTAACAAAAGATGAACTACTAAAAATATCTAACTGGATGACGACCAACTCTCCCAATATAGACAAAACCTACTTCATTCTTTTTGGAAACGAAGCAATAAATATCTAGCTAAACATATCAATAAATGATTCCCCCTTTACAAGACACAGCAAATTTCTAGGTCTTCACCTTGACTGTGATCTGAAATTTCAGACCCACATCCAGCATATATCTAAGAAAGTTTTGAAAACTGTAGGCATCCTTTCCAAGATATGATACTATGTACCCCAAATGGCACTTCTTACATTATATCTCACTGTAATATACCCTTACCTCACCTATGGTATTTGTGCTTAGGCATCGACCACAGCCAATCACCTTGAACTTTTAACCTATGGAGGGTCCAGATGCCAAATCTTGGAGTAATAGCCAGGGTCTAAGAATTTTCAAAAAAAAAAAAAAAAAAAAAAAAAAAAAAAATTAAAGATTCAGTGGACCCTCGACCAACGTTGGCATCGTCTAACGTTAAATCCGACTAGCGATACATTTTAACGCAAAAATTTACCCGACCAACGCTATTTGTTCTGTTCGAGACGCGTCCACTTGTGGCCTGAGCGCGCCTCACTTACCCCGTGGGTGCCAGTGTTTAAAAGCCAACCAGCCACCGCGGTCCCATCCAAACATACAATCGGAACATTTCATATTATCACAGCGTTTGTAGTGATTGCACCTGCAAAATAAGTCACCATGGGCCCCTACATGCCAACCCTACAGCAAAAACGGTGAGAATTACTATGGATATGAAGAAAGAGATCATTGCTAAGTATGAAAGTGGAGTGCGTGTCTCCGAGCTGGCCAGGTTGTACACAAAACCCCAATCAACCATCGCTACTATTGTGGCCAAGAAAACGGCAATCAAGGAAGCTGTTCTTGCCAAAGGTGCAACTATGTTTTCGAAACTGAGATCGCAAGTGATAGAAGATGTTGAGAGACTGTTATTGGTGTGGATAAACGAAAAATAGATAGCAGGAGATAGGATCTCTCAAGTGATCATATGTGAAAAGGCTAGGAAGTTGCATGAGGATTTAATAAGAAAAATGCCTGCAACTAGTGGTGATGTGAGTGAATTTAAGGCCAGCAAAGGTTGGTTTGAGAGATTTAAGAATCGTAGTGGCATACATAGTGTGATAAGGCATGGTGAGGCTGCTAGTTTGGACCACAAAGCGGCTGAAAAATATGTGCAGGAATTCAAGGAGTACATAGACAGTGAAGGACTGAAACCTGAACAAGTGTTTAATTGTGACAAAACAGGCCTGTTTTGGAAGAAAATGCCAAGCAAGACCTACATTACTCAGGAGAAAAAGGCACTCCCAGGACATAAGCCTATGAAAGACAGGCTTACTCTATTGATGTGTGC